TAATATCTTTCTTTAGCAAGAAGTATTGTCCTCCATTTCTGTTAGACTTCGGTAGTTAACACGTTACATATGAAGAATTTTCGTGATTGTTTCCTGCATTCCTGTCAGTCTACGTTTTTTCATAATTGTTACTAGTAGTTCTTGCAGATTGGATGGATAGACAGACAATAAATATGCATACACACTAAAACTAAACTCCGTGGCTTTTAGTCCGCAAACGAACTATACTGACCGAGAGACCGCCGCTTGTCGACGAAGTTAGTGCCAACTTTTGCGGATAGAGGGTGTCTCATAGTCAGCGCAACGGATCCCCACGGCCGTTAATCTCGGTTTTCTGGACCGGAGCCGTTACTTTTCCATTCAAATAGCTCCTGAATTATCCTCACGAGGCTAGGTGGATCCCGTTCCAGACCCACTACTTCTCAGAAAATCTGGTAGCCCCGGGAATAGAACCCGGACCTCTGGATCTGTAGCCAGGAACAGAGGCAGTCTAGTACAGTATATACACAATGCATCCAATTCGTCCGCTGATGGCGTTGAAGATGGTTAGTATTAGGTGCTCATGCTCCTTTCGAAGAAATGATGTGTACTGAAAAACAGACACCTTGGAGCGTTTTACGGATGTACATCAAAGCCCACGCGCAAATACGCGTGCCTAAGGCCGCTGGCAAATTGGTGATTTGGCAGTTCCTTTTTCTGTTTGTCTGAACATCTTGTTGCGCTCTCACTCACGTGTACGCCTCCGCTCAGCAGCAGCTGGATCAAAGGGAACAGTCTCACCTGTCATGACGTTCAATTTTCGTAGCACGCCGTGCGTGCCTCTGTTCGCTGTCATAATCTCCATTATTTGCCCCCAGGCAATTCGGGATACTTCCAGTTTTCGTTTTCCTTCTCCTGCTCGCGGACGCTTGGGGTTCGAACTCCTATACCCACCTTCTATAACCATGTGAGAATTTAATGGTGATGGTCCTCACGTTATAATCACAGACTGGTATTCTTCGTCAAGTTGCAACAGTAAGCTCATGTTACAAGTCCGAAGTCTCTATTCCAGCATGCCACATAGTATATTATAAGACTGTAGCCAACAGGCGCCGTTCACACTACAACGTCAAGAATGTATTTCCTGCAATAAATTCTGACTATGACGTGCTGCACGCCGTTCGTTATCAGACTCTGCAGTCAGGGTACATTTAAGCCGTCAAATGGCGCCTCCATAGGCGCTCCTGCCAACTTCTTGCAACTGGAGCGGAACACACTTTACGTTACTTATTTTTTTACGTATATAAAGGGATTTATGTCCTTAAAAGTTGACACAGGAAGTGTAATCCAGGAAACGCATTTAAGCTGTCTGCATTTTTTTTTATTTTGGAGCCATAAGATGGCGCACTGATGCCGAAACATGCAGCCCAGTATGAAATGCATTCATCGCTTGCACGTTTAATCACATGCTATTAGAGTGATTCTTTTGAGGAAGATGAGGTGGCAGGATCTGTAGCACAAATGGGGAAGATGAGGTATGTGTCCAAAATTAAACTCGGGAAGCCTAACGGAATGAGACCAGTTTAGAGACATAGGCATAGATGGAACCTTAAAGGTATAGTGCGTGTGTACTGGATTTAACTGGATCAGGGTAGTGTCTAGCGGCAAGTTTTATGACCGCGTTAATGAACCTTCCAGTTCCATAAAAGTTGCGGAATTTCGTGCGCAGTTTTACGACTGTTACCTTCTTAAGCAGAACTCTATTCGGAGGAATTAGTTTTAATAATATGACACTCTCCAGTTTAATAATTTTCTGGATTTCGAATAATTTATTTACTAGACCCACCTTTCTGCCTTCCGACCCTCTAATAGAACCCCAGTGGTTGTGTCTTGTAATTCGGTGAATTTAAGTTGAAATGTAATTTTCAACGAGTTGCCTTTTAAGTTCAGTAGCATATCGGTTATTTGTAGGTTTCCAATATCTTTATATAATTTCTGTTTGTGTCTACTTAGGTGCTTGAGAAACTTCTGCAGCAAAATGTTTGCCCCACGTAGTTGCTAATTGAGGCGGAGAAGTGCCTTGCTAATATGTCCTTCTGTATTTTTCTCTCGTGCTGTTCACAGACTGTTTGACTTTCTGTAATGCGTGTTTTCTGATGTATACGTTTATATTCTGCTTGTTTTTAGCGACGATGATGACACGTTTGTCGGGAAGTTTTATTGTGTCTTTGTTCAATGGCGTCTATATAGTTCGGTGTTGTAATCGCCTGGTGACGGCCTTTACTAGCGAGGACATTACAGTGAATTAGCGTATTGGTTGTGGTTTAAAGGCGGGCATCTATGAATACCTCTTGCGTCACCGCTCTAAGCTCTGCAGATTCTTTGAAGGTTCCGTGACGTCACGATAGTGGTGTAAACCTAATTTTGGCGCAATGTCTTTAGTTGAAGAATTTCACTCTCAGGCTGAGGATCGAGAAGGCCAGGCTACAGATATGAAGGATTATGTGAATATACTGAATAACGAAAAACGAATGGTCGACAGTGGGTGATTCTCCAATTCCTAGGTTGGGCAGGTGACTAACAGTCATTGACCGTAGAAATTTAGTACGTTAGGAAATTTTACACAAGGTCATGGATTTTGACAGGCTCTTTGGTACGGCCTAAGGGAGTGTGTATTAGATTCTTTTGGCTCATGGTGACATCCACTTACGGACTCTTGGAAATATGATAATGAAGCTTCAGAGGTGTTGGCCATTCTAGCAGTTAAAGAGTGTCTGTCGTAACATTATTGGATTCCATATTGAATAATGTCTTTCTGTTATATGAACACAGTTACAAATGAATAGGATAAACTCGAGTGGAAAGACACGTTTAAAATATACGCACAATAATGGACAAATTATATTGTCACAGGTGCCATAGTTCAAAAACCTGTTACAATGCTGTTATGTGTATGTGAGGCAAGTTTTATATTAAAAAGAAATCTAATTAATTAACTGCATGAAACTTAGCCCATCTTGTGAAGATGCCAGTCTACTCCGTTGAATGTCAACTGATGTATCAGGGTATGATCTTGAAAAATAAGTGAAGCAAGATACCTGTGTGGCAACCCCCACATACTAACACGCAGCTTCGTCTGTCTAACAGGTACGAACTTGAAAAATAAGTGAAGCAAGATATCTGTGTGGGAAACCCCACATACTAACACGCAGCTTCATCTATTATTATTATTGGAGGGATGGGTTTCCCCATGCACCACGACTAATAGTCTATTGTACGTCCCCCTTTGATATTCTACCAGTCGCCATACCCTACCGGTACTGGTGCCTGCTATCAGCCCCGTTCAGCCAACGAGGTCGGCCCTCGGTACATGATACCTCCCCCATCTACCAGAGGCATTGGAAACTAATTGGGCGGGAAATTTGCCTAATTTTGCTCAGAGGTCTCCTAGAGACATGAGGATGTTTTACGTGCCATAAATCTACAACACAGGACCCACGGCTTAAAGTCCCTCCCAGAGGACTTGTTCCCTGAATTTTTCTGCCCTTAAAAATTCCACGACCTCCACCGGGTTTGAA